TGTGCTCTAGGTGGCCCTGCGTGTGCGAGGGGGCTGGACTAGATGACCTCTAGAGGTCCCTTCCAACCTTAACGATTCTATGATTCTAATTAAGTTTTCCTATATATCAGTTTAGAGACAAGAAACAAAAGAATTTAACCCAGGTCTGTCAGTGTTCTTAATTTTGAGCCTGGCAAAATGATAAATTTTTAAAACTTATAGATCACAGGAGCAAGTTATATGTAGACATAAGTTTTGTTTTATACTCGTCTTTTTCTACATCCCTTCTATTGTATACAAACAAAAGATTTAAAAAAAATCTTCCAAGTTTTGCTATTTATTTTGAAAGTGTACTTTTTTTGCCTTTCCAAAGAAAACAAGCCCCTGATATTTGACTTTTTGTTAATTCTCAATAACCTTATATTTCTAATTTTGGATCAGCATTCAGGTTTATTATATGCAAATAAACATTCAAATTATATGTAATTCAAGCTAAATTTCAACATTCAGTTTTTAATGATACCTGATTTGAATTGAGGGTTCCTACTCCTGGTTATCTCTAGTTCAGACTAAGAGGTTCAATCTGTGAAATAAAATGTGACATAAGATTGATATTTCTGAATGCACCTGGGCTTTCTAAAGAGCCTTCTCTGTTACTTTTCAGTTTAGATGATACACCTTAAAAAAATGCTTCTAGAGACTCCAATTATAGCAGTTTTTTTCCTATAATCTTAAAATATTAAAATTAACAATATATGTTTATATATAAAAATATAATAGATACGCTCACATATTTTTACATAAGAATTGACAAATGGTGATTAAAACTTCTCTTGAGGAATTTGGGTCTGCTTTTTTCAGAATTGCTCATTTAAGAAAAGTAGTGAATGGTCTGAGAGGGCCACTTAATCTTTAACAACAGAACATGCGAGAGGATGTTATAAATATATTTTTGTACTATAGAGGCTTGTGATTGATGAAGCATTTTGCTAATAAAAATGACTTCAAAATAATATATTTTGCTTCAAAAAAGAGTAGTTGTGTGTAATTTGCACTTATTCTTTACATTAAAGATGAGCCATTTTCTTCTAACCATTATGTTATGCCACACAAGTGGCTTGAGGATCCGCTGTGGTGTTTGCGGCACATGTATAGTTATGTATGGTGATGCTTTTTATGTACTCATATTTTTATATTAAAAAAGACAGATCAAATGATTGAGAAAATTGAAATGGCTTTTAACTGATTCAAGATGCTATGTATAGATTTTGTATAGCTTCTGCTCTTATCTAGCAAGTCAGCTCTGTGGGCATCAGGTAGCCTCTGCTTGTTTCAGGATATGTGTTCCAAAGAGCTGCTCTTACTAGCTCACTATGGAAGTGAATCACAGCTTTATAAATAAATTAATGAAATTACACTGCTATTGAAAAACAGGTGACTTTTTTTTTTTTTTTTTTTCCTCCCCTCTCTTGCAAGTTGCAATCCAATGCCTGGAGACTGTTTTTAAGATTAGCCTGGAAGATGCTCATCTTGCACCTCCACAACATTTGATAGAGATGTTCACAAACTCTTTTCACAGGGTAAGCATTGAATTTAGATTCTAGACTCTGCCAATATGTGATAAGATTTCATAATGTATTCACAACCTTAAAGTGCTGTGTAGGTCAAAACAGTGTGGAAACTTTAGGAAAACATGAAAAAAAGTGAAATTACCATAGAAACTAGCAGAATGAGAATCTTTTGGGATGGTAGGAGGAATTAATTTCAGTCAGGCAAGGACAATTCCATATAGAATATTGCTAAACAGTGGATGTCTCATTCTCACTTGAAGAATTTTATCCCTCAGTTACAGTTGAACATTTTGCCATTCCCAAGATAATTGGGACAATTCTGGAAAGTGCTTGAGGTCATTCACAGTTTTCTGATGCTTATGATTCCGATGTGGAAATAATTGAGTCATTTCATTTTTAAAAAGGGGCCATGAACACTAAACTTAAAATGTGAATTTTTTAAATGCAGACTAAAAAATTACATTATATAGGAGTGCCTAGTACAGGAAGCACAGGAACCACCAGGTGGCAAAGAAAAGCGCAAGTAAGAAAACCAACACTGTAGAAACAAATCATTCATCTCTTCCCCTTGGATTGCTTAAAACATATGATGAGCTATGCGTTTCTTTAGTAGTGGAAAGAACACTCTCTCTTTTAAGAATGTGCTAGTCTTTCATGCTTCCTGTGCATTACAGAAAATCTAATTAATTGTTTATATAATGGCCTAACAATTCTTTGCAGGACGAAAGAAGTCTTTTTAATGTAATGAGGCCATATATTTGAATTACTCCCCTACCTTTTCTTTTTTAAATGCACAGAATGACATGCTGCCTCTCTCAGATTCTTTACCAGAGGATGTTGAAAAGGCTGACCAGCTGAAGGATGAAGGTTTGTAATTACTAAAGAAATAAACATGTTATGCTTTTATTGACTCTTGGGGATATTGAGATGTTTGGATTATTATGGATAGTGATAATATAGCAGCTGGACAGCACATTACACACACAAACTTGAGCTTATATTCTTTGGTGACTATCATGTTGTAAAATGGGTAAATGATGTGCTCTATCTGAGATTTAAGAAAGTGTAATCTGTTCTCTGCCTTGCTGCTTATTGCTCAGGAGATTGTTAAAAACTAATAGATAATGCATGAAGTCCAAATCGGCATTCTTGAGTAGTAGAAGCTTTAAAGAATTAATATAATTGTTCATTATATTATGGCTTTTTCTAGCACTTTATTATGGACCAGAAATTCTGAGTTTTGATGGCTGCTTATGGTGAGAAATTCTACATCCAAATCATTTTAGGCTGTCTGTGCTAAACATGCCCTTCATCATCTTGATGACTAAACTATGTGAGAGCTGTACGGAAGTGGGTCTTATATGCTGCTTGGGTTTTGTTTTAATTTTGTTTAACATGACCATGCTATATGGGTAGCTGGAGACAAGTTGTTGGGAGATGCGAGAAGATCAGGTCAAAAGGGTTTTACTGCAGTATGAGGTTTGCAGAGATGCATAGACTGATAAATCTAAATTACAATGGAGGTGTCGTGGTTGAATTCCTATAGAACCACTTCTCAACAAACTGGTCTTTCCTTAACAGCAGAAATTACCTAGCAAGTGTAAAAATGGAAAGATGAGAAGGGGAAAGTTTGTGGTGGACTGCGCTGTACAGAACAAACATTACTTTTATTTGCATTATATCCTGCCAATTCTATTTAAAAGAATACATTTTGAAAAAGTGAACTCATAGCTGTCTTATTGGATGTTATAGTGACTATTTTACTTTGATACATAGCACTGTATCTCTTAACTACTTAAGAGTTTTCTGTAATTTATTTCAGGTAACAATCACATGAAAGAAGAAAATTACGGTGCTGCAGTGGATTGTTATACAAGAGCTATAGAACTGGATCCAAACAATGCAGTCTATTACTGCAACAGGTAAAAAAAAATGCACCCCTTTCATTCATCAGACTTCATGAACATAATATTAAAGATAAATTATTAAGTAAATCAAAATAACTTGAGGCTAAAAATGCCTGCTGTTCAGGAACGTGTTAAATTTGTAAGAGTTCTATCTATCTAAAGATAAGAATCTTTATCAGAAACACTTGAGATCAGGTTTTTGTCATTCCAAGTCTGTTAGAAGTAAGAGCCTTTCTATTTTTCTAGTGTTTCAGTGGATCATCCACCTTTTCTTTCTCTCACAGTATTGATTTTTCCTTGAAAAAGTCATGAGTAAAGCACTTGGGGGACTTTCCAGTGCAGTTTAAGTATTCAGTGTCTTTATGTAGGACCTGTTGAAAAAGCGACAAGACTATGTTATTGTAGCTTCATAGTGTAATCAGTTCTTCACCCTACTACCAATATGGGAACAGATGAAGTCTGGCAGAGCATGTTATCCCAAGAGCTGGGAACATTCACATTCAGCTTTACTGTCCTGAAGGTCAGTATATAGGAATATAGGCAATATAGCCTGTGAGACCTCCTGGAAGTGATCTCTCTCTAGACAGCCGCTGTAGAGCTTCTCTGCTCTGTTCAGTACATCTGTTATTAGAAGGATTTATGAACTTCAGTGCAGTTAATCTGGCCTTGCGGCACTGTACCTCGTGGATTTTTCTGTTCTCTTGAGCTATGCTTCATTGAGTTGTTTGCAGCAAATACAAGTGATAATTCAGTGTTTAGTGACAAGCACAGAGACAGGGGATTCACAGTTTACTAATATTATATTAAATATTCAAGACAGTTCAAAATGTAAATCACTCTTTTCCTTAAGAAAACTGATCACATAAGTGATTTTAGTTTTTAAATGGCTATATATGATTCCAAAGCCTCCTAAAATCAGTAGAAGTTTCTTAAGTAGAATGTGCTTATGCACCAAATCTGTAATTGTCAAGAGAAGAAATACTTCACTGTTTGTGCAACATCATCACATGCTAAATGGGTGAGGACCAAAATTCATCGTGATGTCAGAGCGCCCTGTATTGTATGTACAAAGTTACTTAAAAGAAGGACACTCAGTTATTTGGGATTTTGTGTGGTGCAGTGTCCAGATAAAAATAGACCTTGTTCTTAGGCTAGTTTGAATCAGTGGAGAGTTGCTGTATTCAACAGTGTTGCTTTTTATTTATAGCAGCGAGAAGAAGACAAAGCTGAGATCACTCAAAGTTTTAACTGATCATATAAATTATCTGCCAACATGGATTAAACAGTTTTGGTTCAAACAAATGCAAGACTAAGCATTGTCTCTGGTTTTATCCATACATCTTCACTGACATTTGTGAAGCTGGACAGGTATTTGGAAGATAAATAGTCCTATTCAGAAAGCATTTTAATCAGTCAGGCAAAATGTGCAATTCAGAGGGTATTATGAAAGAGAGGAGGAAACATAATGATGATCTCTGTCATATTTAGCATCTAATAAAAGAGAAAAATGTTTCATGAAGTATAAATGTCTTTGACAATTAGTTATGTCTCTCTAGTATAGAGACACGATTATATTTTAGTAATTCAGACATTGCTAAGAAATGCTATCCTCATTTAGGTGGAAGCATGAGTTGCCTCTAGGGAATAACTGTGTTCCTGTAACAGGAATATGGCTTTCAGTGGAAAGTTGCTAGTTCCTTTATAATCATTATCCGGAAGCCAGTTTTGGCAAGCAAGTGGAACAGCTGTTGCTCAAGGAAACTTTAGCGGTTCTGATGTCTCAGAAAAAGAGCAGTGAAAAATGAGGGCATCCTTTGAATGTTATGAAATGGCAATAAAAGTATGCTTCTTGCTGGAAAAGGGCAATTATATAAAATACCTCTGTTTAAATAATGATTTTATGTATGTGAGAGTTTAAATTCTTGTAACAGGTTTTGTGGTGTATTTTGTGCATAGTCATGTGCTGGTTCTAAAACAATTTCTTAGCATTACTTATCCTTTGTGTCCTTAAAGAGGAGCCTGTGTTCGCCAAAACTTGCGATGTACTTAGGCACATACTTAATTCAGGACGCTTGCATCTCCTGGTGAATTAAGGAGAGCCGAGGCATTTTTTGTATAACAAATGAAAAGTCAGAAAAAATAAACATTCTGTTGCTTTATGACAAAGTTCTCTTCCTTCCCTCTCCCCTTTCTTTTAGGGCTGCTGCTCAAAGTAAGCTCAACAAGTACAGTGAAGCAATAAAGGATTGTAAGAGAGCCATAGAAATAGATCCTAAATACAGCAAAGCATATGGGAGAATGGGGTAAGCTAATATAAATCTGAGTAGACACTGAGGACCAAGTGTAAATATCATAGGTTTTCTGAAATCAGTGGAGTTGTGTTGTTTTAGTGCAGCTGACAGTTTTAGCCTGAGTGTGTTGCAATTCGCTTAAAATGATACTATGGGGCTATCAGCTTTAAGGTTTTTGGAGGCTGTTGATCATAGCAATTTCATATCAGTTTTAGTCAGTTTGCATTTTTTTTTTTTCCAACTTGCCAACTTTGCAACCAACCAACTTTTAATTTAGGAAGTCAAGATCTACTTTTGTTTGTTTTTGTGGGTGTTTTGTTTGTTTGTTTGCCTCCTACCTCATCATAAAGTAATGAGAATTCTACTGTTGGAATGAGTCTAGTTTGCTCATGATGCTGATAAAAATAGGACTGAAGCTGGGGCTCCTAATTTTACTCCTAACAGGAGTAAAGCCTTAATTTTCCTGTGCAATGACTCTTACGAAGCAGTTTTTTTTATTAAGTAAGACTATGCTATATCTCATTAGTAACCTCTCTAAATCATGTCTGAGAGATTAACAGTATTAGCACTTAATCAGACCCACTGCTTAAAGGGATATCTCAAATTATAATGCCAGGAATATACTCCTGAATTGAATATCTATTTGAGTGAAGGGCTGTTCTGTTTCAATTCATGTAGCTTTGCATTTTCAATAATCAAAGATATTGTGAGGGTCTGGGCTGAACAGTGCCTTAGACTTTTGGCTCTTGAGGTTATGCCTATACCAGTAAATTAAAAAATGCTTGGGTTTGTTCTTGGGAGTCAGCTGGCACCAAGTGGTCCATGTTCATGTATTATTAAGTTTTGCTAGTTTGCATTATGGAGTGGCCGAATTCAAAGTGCCTATTGCTAAATTGCCTTGGCCTGTGTTAACTTCCGAACTATATCCCAGAATTGTTGGGATAATGCTAGTTGGCCTGGGACAAAACAGTGCCAGGGGCCATTTTCCTAAGAGTTAAGATAATGGAATTCTATTACCTGAAAATCTTCCCTCACAGAGTTTATTTTACTAGTACTGATGTAACCTGTTTGGCTTTGAGATGGTGGAACCCTTGTTAGTTGTTTAGCCCTCTTTGCTTTTGCTGTATGGAGACACAATCTAGAGATTTCAGTGAGATGGAGAGAAACCACAGGCTGATTTAATTGGAAATTGGAGGTTATTTTAGAGTTTTGGATGTAAGACCAGCGTGCTTTTTGATGGACAGTGTAAGTGGGATCAAGTTTATCTTGTTTGATAGGCTGATAAATTGTTGTTACAATAGGGGATGTATTTTGCGCTGCAGGCTGTTGCTTAACCCGGTAAATGGAGATGATAATAAAACTTGCATAAGTTGAATGAGGAAACAGTGCCTGTTTAGTAATATCTAAAAAGAAACAAGTGCAGAAGCCACCATCTCAACAAAAAGTTCTGTGAGAAGGTCATGTTTGCCTATTGCATTACACAGATGTTTCAGTTTTTCTGAGGATTTGACAGAAGCTCAGGAGGTGTGGATAAAAAAAGCAGAGGTGCCGCAGAAATTGCGGAG